TTTATGTTGTGGGTGTAGATGTGCCGGGCAGAGAAGATGTGTAGACGGACTGCGGTCTTGAGGCCTGACATTAGTGTGTGGGTTTATGTTGTGGGTTTAGATGTGGTGCCAGGGAAGAGAAGATGTGTGGACGGACTGCGGCCTGACATTACTGTGTGGGTTTATGTTGTGGGTGTAGATGTGCCGGGCAGAGAAGATGTGTAGACGGACTGCGGTCTTGAGGCCTGACATTAGTGTGTGGGTATGTGTTGTGGGTGTAGATTGTTTAAACATCTAATAGAGAACTCTATTTCCCGGCTTTGTGCCTATTGGGCATATAGGGCTAGACCTATATTTTATAGACCACTCGTCACTTAGTGGGTGATGCGGTCAGCACCACGCCGACCGCCTTTTCTTCACAGGAAAGTTCCTTGTACCCAGTCAAGGCTGGGTCGACCTGGGAGCCAAGGTCATTATGTTTTTGTTGTTTAAAGAAAAGAAAAAGTCTGATTTTGCCTGGACCTGAAGCAACGACCTTCTGTTCCACAGGACTCCTTTTTTCGACTAGATATTTATGTTTTTTATATAAATAATATTTAGACTGTGCAGTTGTAACAAAACAGACGTTTTGTTTGTTATTTTCACTACTTGCATACTTTAACTTTGGTACCACAATAAATGTTACAGAATCGATGTGAACTACCCTATACCTAGCCACATAGGTCAAGCTTTTACAACTTTTAGGAGACGTTCTTGAACACTGTGACATCATGACATTAGGAGACGATGTTGAACAGTGTGACATCATGACATAAGGAGACAATGTTGACGAGTTTGACATCATGACATTAGGAGACAACATGACATTAGGAAACATTTGTAATAAAAACGACTAGCAGTACATGCCATTAGGTTAAATTATTGAACAGTCTGACATCATGACTTTAGGAGACGATGTTGAACAGTATGATATGTTGACATCAGGAGATGTTGTTGACGAGTTTGACATCATGACATCGGGAGACGTTGCTGAACAGTGTGACCTCATGACATTAGGATACGTTGTTGACGAGTTTGACATCATGACATTAGGAGACAACATGACATTAGGAAACATCTGTAATAAAAATGACTAGCAGTACATGTGTCAGAAGTCTGCGGGCAGCACTACTAACGCCAAAACGTGTGAACTTTCAGAAGAATTTGGTCTTGTTATGAAACTGAAGGTATGTTGATACACCATGGTATTTCTGCAGGAATCTTGAGTTCACGCCAGCCAAACAGCTGCGGTAAATTGCGTTCTACGTTACGATTTTGACCTATTTATGAAGCTTGTTTGATTCCCGCACAAAGCTCGCTCCACGCCCACTCACGGCTAGATGTTTTCGATCCTCTGTCAACATTTACTTATCGGTGGTTCTAAAACTCTGGAAGAAAGTGAAAGAGCTAGTGAGCAAAATGTGAGAATTATTCGGGTGCAATAAAGAACGGACAGATGTGTGACGCCATTATGAGGAAAACAAAGCCAAGATCAAAGCAGCCATTAGTTAAAGTTTGTTGCGTATCATATACAGCATGTTGCATAACCAACCCCAGCATTTTTGGCTGTTGTGGTTTTTTTTTTGGGGGGGGGGGGCAAAATTTATGTCCAGTAGTTTGCCATTGCTTTCTAGACGGTCGGCTTGTCGAAACAACTGTAGAAACGAATGCAAGGCGCCAGGCCAGCAAGTGGAATCGAACCCTGCACATCGGCATTACGAAGCGCGTTCGCAACGCCTAAGCCACAGAAGCCGACTCAGTCATTAGAACCAACTGAAGCACTTCTAAGGCAGAGCACAACATGCACACACGACACAAACAGATCGTTGTATTTAGACTGCAAACCGGACACAACACAGCTCTTAACCATTTTAGTGGTAGAAGTACATTGGGCACCACTAGGACATCACACAAGTGGTTAACACCCAATGACACATAGTGCCACCATGTGGATGAGGATCACCAGTGGAGAGATCCCTGAAACCGCGTTCAGTCCTTAGACCATATTTATGGCCGTACTATATTGCAAGAGCCGGGGTGGGGCTTCAAAATAACGAAACATCGCATCCCACAAGGGGATGACTAGTTGATATTCTTGGCCATGTGCACAATCCATTCAGTATAAGTGCTTTAGAACTTTGCCTAAGTGCACAGGCCAAGATATCAAACCGAACGAAAAGTATATTAGCAAGTTTCAAAATATAACAAATACAAATAAAAAGTGAACGCAAATCAAACATTACCACACAAATACACAATATCACTTAGTTGGTGCCTCCAAGAAGCCGGGTCGATAACTTCTCAGCGCACTGCTGACACGAGTGGCCTGGGGATTAAATATCCTCTGTGGAGTACCAGGGGCCATAACAAGGGGTTTGAGAAAAAACTGTGTGAGCAGGAGTTTAACTAAAATTGTGTTGGTAATTCAGTCTGGAGGGTGTTAAAGTACCTGAAGTGTAAATAAAGCGTATGTCAGGAGACTTGCCGACTCTGTTACTGGAGTGTCACTAGATTTAAGAGCCGTCACCTCCATGTCGAGGGCACCTTGGTGATGTTGGGAATTGAGGTGCAACGGTACTGGTTTCAGGGCACCATTTTGCGCATTCAAAAGATGTTGTCTGAACATGTCAGTCAGCCGTAGAGGTGTTTCACCGATGTATTTCATGCCACATCTCTTGCACTTGATGGCATTAATGACATTGCTGCTGTTTCACGTATGTGGAAGGTGGCGTTCGGTTATTCAAGACTAGTCACCTGGACCACATATGGACAGGTCCTGCATACAGGTCAAGGGCAAGAGACCGTGCCGAAGTGGGGCTCAGACGAGAGACGCAACCTACTCTTGACTAGAATGTCCTTGAGGTTTCGGTCATACCTAAAGGCAACTAGAGGACGTTCCGAGAAAATCGTGCTGGTGGCAGGGTCGGCTCTAAAGGGTGGAGAGATACCTAAGGAAAATAATTTTGGCGCCGATGTTGTAAGGGTGGTAGTAAGTGTGAGAATAGGTCTGTTGTGGTGACGTTTAGGCTTGGAAACGAGAGCCTCGATGGATAGACCGTGCTCGGTGAAAGGCGGCAGAAAAGGCATGTTTAGTCCAGCATTTCTAGGGCGTTAATGTGAAAGTGGTCGTTCTCATGGCATAGTCTGCGGAGGCGTAGAAGCTGGGAGAAAGGAACTGAGTCCTTGCAAGAAGAGGGATGGAAAGACGTGTAGAGAAGAAAAGCATAGGAATCAGTAGGCTTATAGTACACCAAGGTGCTGAGGCCTAAAGAGTTCACGGTGACAGTGAGATCCAGAAATGCACCGACGAAGGTGACATGCTAGAAGTGCATCGGATGCTGGGATGAAAGTTAGAGAAAAAAATGAATGAACTTCTGCAGCTCAGGTAGGATCATATCAGTGACACGGATGCAATCATCGATGTACCTCCTGTAGAGCTCGGGGAGGGGCATATCTGTGACACCGTTGCAATCATCGATATACCTCCTGTAGAGCTCGGGGAGCCTACCGGTATATGCATGACGTGTCTGGTGCTCGAGGTGCCCCATGAAGAGGCAGGTTTAGCTGGGTCCCATCTTGGTCCCCATAGCGACGCGGCTGGTCTGGTTCAAATACTGGCCATTAAACTCGAACGAGTTTTAAAGTGAGCACTAGCTCCGCCGGACGTATCAAAGGGTCAGTGGCTATGGCAGGACTGACTCTCTGATCTAGAAAGAACCGCAAAGCCTGGAGGCCATCCGCATGTGGAATAGAGGTGTGGAGGGAGGTAACATCTAAGGTGAAGATGTGGTACCTGGAAGAAGAGGTGAACTGGATAGATTGAAAGACAGAGATAGCATGGTGAGTATCTTTGACGACCAGAGGCTGCAAAATACGGTCGAGGACGAGGAGCCTGTCCATGTGGACACGAGGATCTGCTGTCAGAGGAGGAGCGACTGACCAAACGGTTAAAAACGCAGGGCTCTCATGCAGAAGACCAGAGTTCGAATCCTCAGTATGTTTGGATATATTTTTGTTGTTGTTGTTGTTGGGAGGGAAAATTAAAAGCCACCCCCGTAGAGTGTGCAACGACAGAACTAGTCATACAGCTCCAAATCCTTCTCTTCAAAGACCCACCTGCCCACACTGCCGAAGTTGTAAATAGAAGCAGTTTGGCAGTTGGTCAATGTGGACAGATACCATAGAATATAGAACATATGCTGCAGACATCCGCCCTGCATTCCCAAATCTGGTCAGTTAGAATTCCAATGGAAACTAAGCTGTGTGACATCGGCGACCGGGTCGCTCATTATTGGCTGGCCGGTAGACAACTTCGTCTCCAGTCCGGACAGTATTTGGGTCCGTCTGCCTTGATCGCATCCACACTGCTGGAGTCATTTTTAGGGCTTGGGTGGCCTGTTATGCTAAGACATTTTATGTGACGCACATTTGTAAAGAACGGAAATAAGATCCCCAAGAACACGACACACTCATCGAAGGTCTTCTTGGCGCTGAGAGTAAGTCAAGAAGAGGATCAGTCTCTAGACCTGGTGGTGTATTGGGCTCATGGTGTGTGTCACATATTGTATAGATTATTTGGGCATTGAAACAAAGAGACTGAGCAACTTTGGGTTTGATGCAAATCTTATTCATGGCCAAACCATTTGATTTGTTGTCTACCAATAAAGCTCATCTTTTGTTCTGGACCAACACTCCTCCTGATATCTTTCCTAGTTATACCGAGCACAGTACGTAAACATTTCATTTCTATCGTGACTAATACTTCATTCATATATCTTGTAATATGACAGTTACAAACTAGATATACCAACAATATATTTATTATATAAAATACAGTTGAAACATACAAGAGTCATTGACACATCTCAGGAACACACATGGTTGGTGTGTTCAGTATAGCAGTCTAACAAAAGAACAAACAAAAACATTTGGGAACACTGTGCTAGAGATAAACTTGCGAAGATCCGAAGCAGAAATAGAAAATGCGCAGCTCATTCAGTGTCGGACATTCTTTCACGCCCCCACCCCCCCCCCACCCCCCAACTCCCACCCAGTTTTTCTTTTTATTTTCAACCCCTCTTTATGCCATTATTTTCTTTCATGTCGGTGCAGAGAGGGTGCGGGGGTTGGGGAGGGGGATTCTGAGTCTCTGAACTTTCCAGACTTTGAAAGAAAACGTGAGCAATGTAGGTGACGTGTCGATTCGGGGCCGCCAAAATTGCAGAACTTGGGCAAAAAAGCCAAATAAGTTACTAAGTTATTATTGAGCAGGAAAGCGAAAAGGAGAAGTTAGAGAATATAGAGAGATGATGGAGTCAAGAAAGATAACAAGAAAGGGAGGAAGACAAGAAGAATAAGAAGAAAAGTAGGACGACATAATGGGAAAGGCGGGTTGGGGATAAGGAGCAGGGCCAGTACAAGGAATAGAAAAAAGAGGAAAGGGGAGGAGAAAAAGGAGAGGAGGATAAGGATGAGGAAGATGAGCAGGAGCAGCAGCAGCAGAAGAAGAAAAAGAAGAAGAAGAAGAAGAAGAAGAAGAAGAAGAAGAAGAAGAAGAAGAAGAAGAAGAAGAAGAAGAAGAAGAAGAAGAAGAAGAAGAAGAAGAAGAAGAAGAAGAAGAAGAAGAAGAAGAAGAAGAAGAAGAAGAAGAAGAAGAAGAAGAAGAAGAAGAAGAAGAAGAAGAAGAAGAAGAAGACGAAGAAGAAGAAGAAGAAGAAGAAAAAGAAGAAGAAGAAGAAGAACAAGAAGAAGAAGAACAAGAAGAAGAAGAAGAACAACAAGAAGAAGAAGAAGAAGAAGAAGAAGAAGAAGAAGAAGAAGAAGAAGAAGAAGAAGAAGAAGAAGAAGAAGAAGAAGAAGAAGAAGAAGAAGAAGAAGAAGAAGAAGAAGAAGAAGAAGAAGAAGAAGAAAAAGAAGAAGAAGAAGGTGGAGGAGCAGAAGGAGGAGGACAACGACGATCACGACGATAAAATGATAGCGGTGATCGTAGTTGATAGAGTTGAGAATGGTAGTATAAGAGAAACACGGAAGAAAGAAAACGTTTCCCTGCTGCTCTAAATTCAATATTACTCATTTTCTGTTCATTCCTGGAAGCCAGCAATGAATCTAGCTATCATTCCACCATGTTACTAATTCCAGCTATCATTCCACCATGTTACTGAATCCAGCTATCATTCCATCATGTTGCTGAATCCAGCTATCATTGCACCATGTTACTGAATCCAGCTATCATTCCACCATTTTACTAATTCCAGCTATCATTCCACCATGTTACTAATTCCAGCTATCATTCCACCATGTTGCTGAATCCAGCTATCATTCCATCATGTTGCTGAATCCAGCTATGATTCCATCATGTTACTAATTCCAGCTATCATTCCACCATGTTACTGAATCCAGCTATCATTCCACAATGTTACTAATTCCAGCTATCATTCCACCATGTTACTGAATCCAGCTATCATTCCACCATGTTACTGAATCCAGCTATCATTCCACCATGTTACTAATTCCAGCTATCATTCCACCATGTTACTGAATCCAGCTATCATTCCACCATGTTACTGAATCCAGCTATCATTCCACCATGTTACTGAATCCAGCTATCATTCCACCATGTTACTGAATCCAGCTATCATTCCACCATGTTACTGAATCCAGCTATCATTCCACCATGTTGCTGAATCCAGCTATCATTCCACCATGTTACTGAATCCAGCTATCATTCCACCATGTTACTGAATCCAGCTATCATTCCACCATGTCACTGAATCCAGCTATCATTCCACCATGTTACTGAATCCAGCTATCATTCCACGATGTTACTGAATCCAGCTATCATTCCACCATGTTACTGAATCCAGCTATCATTCCACCGTGTTACTGAATCCAGCTATCATTCCACCATGTCACTGAATCCAGCTATCATTCCACCATGTTACTGAATCCAGCTATCATTCCACCGTGTTACTGAATCCAGCTATCATTCCACCATGTCACTGAATCCAGCTATCATTCCACCATGTTACTGAATCCAGCTATCATTCCACCATGTTACTGAATCCAGCTATTATTCCACTATGTTACTGAATCTAGCTATCATTCCACCACGTTACTGAATACAGCTATCATTCCACCATGTTACTGAATCCAGCTATCATTCCACCATGTTACTGAATCTAGCTATTATTCCACTTTGTTACTGAATCCAGCTATCATTCCACGATGTTACTGAATCCAGCTATCATTCCACGATGTTACTGAATCCAGCTGTCATTCCACCATGTTACTGAATCCAGCTGTCATTCCACCATGTTACTGAATCCAGCTATCATTCCACCATGTTGCTGAATCCAGCTTTCATTCCGACATGTTGCTGAATCCAGCTATCATTCCACCATGTTGCTGAATCCAGCTGTCATTCCACCATGTTACTGAATCCAGCTGTCATTCCACCATGTTACTGAATCCAGCTATCATTCCACCATGTTACTGAATCCAGCTATCATTCTACCATGTTACTGAATCCAGCTATCACTCCACAATGTTGCTGAATCCAGCTGTCATTCCACCATGTTACTGAATCCAGCTATCATTCCACCATGTTACTGAATCCAGCTATTATTCCACCATGTTACTGAATCCAGCTGTCATTCCACCATATTACTGAAAATAGCTATCATTCCACCATGTTACTGAATCCAGCTATCACTCCACGATGTTACTAAATCCAGCTATCATTCCACGATGTTACTGAATCCAGCTATCATTCCACGATGTTACTGAATCCAGCTATCATTCCACAATGTTGCTGAATCCAGCTATCATTCCACCATGTTACTGAATGCAGCTATCATTTCATAATGTTACTGAATCCAGCTATCATTCCACGATGTTACTGAATCCAGCTATCATTCCACCATGTTACTAAATCCAGCTACCATTCCACGATGTTACTGAATCCAGCTATCATTCCACCATGTTACTGGATCCAGCTATCATTCCACCGTGTTACTGAATCCAGCTATCATTCCACGATGTTACTGAATCCAGCTATCATTCCACCATGTTACTAAATCCAGCTACCATTCCACGATGTTACTGAATCCAGCTATCATTCCACCGTGTTACTAAATCCAGCTATCATACCCTCCCCGCCATCCTAACATACTAGGTTTTTTTGTTTTAACCATAATCAATGTGTGTACTGGTCATGTTGAAACTTCGAATTTATCAGAGAAGGGTTGGCTTCTGAGCAGGTACCACAGGGTCAGGTGTGAGTATACCATTTAAAGAATAGTATTTTGTGAGCTTGAAACAATGGATTGTGCACTAGTTGACTCAACCTCAGAATGGAGTGCAACTAACTTTTTTAAAATTATAAAGTCCATCACACAGTGATTAGGAACCCTAATATATTCTAACGGTTGAACAGGATTTCTGGGACTTGTGCCCCGGTGATCGTCGTCCGAATGGTAGCGCTTGGTGTCACTGGGTGATTATCGCTCGTTGTACGTTTATGGTTTGGTTTAACGACTTTCACACTTTTTATGTTTCCTAACATCCCCAACCAAAATTAATTGTACCTCATTATAGTTTTCGTCCCCTAGGGTCGCCGTTTGTCAGTTTGTCCGTTCGTGCAATTTTATACAATGAACTGGTCGTCACGCTTTGTACACCCGCAACGTATTGGTAAAAGAGATATGCTGCAAAGATTAAGCAACTAAAGTTTGTATTTGCTTACTTTGTATACGCACATCATAAATATAACATCGCTCGAAGTCTTCTTTGCTTTCAAGCAAACATAGCTTGTAGAACCAAACTGGATACCTAAACTGGTTCACATGAGGGTATCAAGACCACAGAGGGTTAACTTCTTCGACAGACAATACAAAAAGAGAGATCGGACTGACCTCGTTATGTCGACTCCTTCCTGAGTCTATCCATGCCTTCTTGAGTATATCCACTCCTTCCTGAGTCTATCCACTCCTTCTTGAGTCTATCCACGCCTTCCTGAGTCTATCCACTCCTTCTTGAGTCTATCCACTCCTTCCTGAGTCTATCCACTCCTTCCTGTCTATCCACTCCTTCCTGTCTATTCACTCCTTCCTGTCTATTCACTCCTTCCTGTCTATCCACTCCTTTCTGAGTCTATCCACGCCTTCCTGAGTCTATCCACGCCTTCCTGAGTCTATCCACTCCTTCCTGAGTCTATCCATGCCTTCTTGAGTCTATCCACTCCTTCTTGAGTCTATCCACTCCTTCTTGAGTCTATCCACTCCTTCCTGAGTCTATCCATGCCTTCCTGAGTCTATCCACTCCTTCTTGAGTCTATCCACTCCTTCCTGAACCTATCCACGCCTTTCTGAGTCTATTCACTCCTTTCTGAGTCTATCCACTCCTTCCTGAGTCTATCCACTCCTTCCTGTCTATCCACTCCTTCCTGTCTATCCACTCCTTCCTGTCTATCCACTCCTTCCTGTCTATCCACTCCTTCCTGTCTATCCACTCCTTCCTGAGTCTATTCACTCCTTTCTGAGTCTATCCACTCCTTTCTGAGTCTATTCACTCCTTCCTGAGTCTATCCACTCCTTCCTGTGTCTATTAATTCTTTCCTGAGTCTTTCCACTCCTTCCTGAGTCTATCCACTCCTTACTGAGTCTATCCACGCCTCCCACAGTGACTTGATTCCCAAACTTCTGCAGGCTTAGAGTCACGTTTGAGAGGCTTTAACTCTAAATGGGGCGGGGGGGGGGGGGGAATGGGGTCCTCAAATTTCATAACAATGCTTTGAAATGACAGTAGAACAGCGTTCTATGACAAAAATATCACAAACCACGGAGAAGATTTCTACAAATAACAACAGCAGTGAAGAGCGTGGGCTTGGAAGAAAACAACAAAGCCGACTCGTGCTGTGACCTTCACGAAAATCTCTCAAGGGATATTTGTCGACTACACACGGGCCACAATATTCTCTGGTAGCAGCCGGTCGGCAAACTAAAACATCGGTAATCATACAGCACACCAAGTGACACAACATGAATGCTGACCACAGAACTGTGATTCGTACACCACAGATAGTATAACTCTCCCATGTACCGCAAAAGATAAGACTTACCCATGTACCACAGATGTCAGGACTGTACCATGTAAAACAGATGACACGACCGTCCCATGTACCACAGAAGACAGGACTATCCCATGTACCACAGAAGACAGGACTGTGCCATGTACCACAGAAGACAGGACTGTGCCATGTATCACAGATGTCAAGACCGTCCCATGTACCACAGAAGACAGGACTGTCCCATATACCACAAATAACAGGAGTGTCCCATGTACCACAGATGACAGGACTATCCCATGTACCACAGAAGACAGGACTATCCCATGTACCACAGAAGACAGGACTGTCCCATATACCACAAATAACAGGAGTGTCCCATGTACCACAGATGACAGGACTATCCCATGTACCACAGAAGACAGGACTATCCCATGTACCACAGAAGACAGGACTATCCCATGTACCACAGATGACACGACCGTCCCATATACCACAAATAACAGGACTATCCCATGTACCACAAAAGACAGGACTGTCCCATGTACCACAGATGTCAGGACTGTCCTATGTACCACAGATGACAGGACTGTCCTATGTAACACAGATGTCAGGACTGTCCCGTGTACCACAGATGACAGGACTGTCCTGTGTACCACAGATGACACGGCTGTCCCTAACCCCACAGACGAATGGCCAGACCCTGTCACATCAATCCAACGTTATGACGGTGAAGCAGCTCTAGGGCGAGCTATGATGTCTCTTTATGGAATGTGAGATAGCATCTGGGTGTGCAATGTGAGATAGAATCTGGGTGTGCAATGTGAGATAGAATCTGGGTGTGCAATGTGAGATAGAATCTGGGTGTGCAATGTGAGATAGCATCTGGGTGTGCAATGTGAGATAGCATCTGGGTGTGCAATGTGAGATAGAATCTGGGTGTGCAATGTGAGATAGCATCTGGGTGTGCAATGTGAGATAGAATCTGGGTGTGCAATGTGAGATAGCATCTGGGTGTGCAATGTGAGATAGCATCTGGGTGTGCAATGTGAGATAGCATCTGGGTGTGCAATGTGAGATAGCATCTGGGTGTGCAATGTGAGATCGAATCTGGGTGTGCAATGTGAGATAGCATCTGGGTGTGCAATGTGAGATAGAATCTGGGTGTGCAATGTGAGATAGCATCTGGGTGTGCAATGTGAGATAGAATATGGGTGTGCAATGTGAGATAGCATCTGGGTGTGCAATGTGAGATAGCATCTGGGTGTGCAATGTGAGATAGCATCTGGGTGTGCAATATGAGATAGAATCTGGGTGTGCAATGTGAGATAGCATCTGGGTGTGCAATGTGAGATAGCATATGGGTGTGCAATTTGAGATAGCATCTGGGTGTGCAATGTGAGATAGAATCTAGGTGTGCAATGTGAGATAGAATCTGGGTGTGCAATGTGAGATAGCATCTGGGTGTGCAATGTGAGATAGCATCTGGGTGTGCACTGTGAGATAGCATCTGGGTGTGCAATGTGAGATAGCATCTGGGTGTGCAATGTGAGATAGCATCTGGGTGTGCAATGTGAGATAGCATCTGGGTGTGCAATGTAAGATAGCATCTGGGTGTGCAATATGAGATAGAATCTGGGTGTGCAATGTGAGATAGCATCTGGGTGTGCAATGTGAGATAGCATATGGGTGTGCAATTTGAGATAGCATCTGGGTGTGCAATGTGAGATAGAATCTAGGTGTGCAATGTGAGATAGAATCTGGGTGTGCAATGTGAGATAGCATCTGGGTGTGCAATGTGAGATAGCATCTGGGTGTGCACTGTGAGATAGCATCTGGGTGTGCAATGTGAGATAGCATCTGGGTGTGCAATGTGAGATAGCATCTGGGTGTGCAATGTGAGATAGCATCTGGGTGTGCAATGTAAGATAGCATCTGGGTGTGCAATATGAGATAGAATCTGGGTGTGCAATGTGAGATAGCATCTGGGTGTGCAATGTGAGATAGAATCTGGGTGTGCAATGTGAGATAGCATCTGGGTGTGCAATGTGAGATAGCATCTGGGTGTGCACTGTGAGATAGCATCTGGGTGTGCAATGTGAGATAGCATCTGGGTGTGCAATGTGAGATAGCATCTGGGTGTGCAATGTGAGATAGCATCTGGGTGTGCAATGTAAGATAGCATCTGGGTGTGCAATATGAGATAGAATCTGGGTGTGCAATGTGAGATAGCATCTGGGTGTGCAATGTGAGATAGCATCTGGGTGTGCAATGTGAGATAGCATCTGGGTGTGCATGCAGAAAACTGAGAAGTCTGTAATAATGACGAAACTGTTTTTTGGGCATTTCGATGATTATGATGATGTTGATAACGATGACAATAATGTCGATGACGACGTCGATGATGATGATCATTGACGATGATCACGATGACGATGACGACGATGGTGAAGACGATGACAATGACGACGATGATGATGACGATGACGATGATGACGATGATGACGATGACAACGATGACGATGACGATGATGACGATGATGATGACGATGATGACGATGATGATGATGACGATGATGATGACGATGACGATGATGACGATGACGATGATGATGACGATGACGATGATGATGATGACGATGATGATGACGATGATGACGATGACGATGGTGATGATGTGTACGATGATGATGACGATGATGATGACGATGACGATGATGACGATGACGATGACAATGATGACGATGATGATGATGACGATGATGACGATGATGATGACGATGACGATGATGACGATGACGATGATGACGATGATGATGACGATGATGACGATGATGATGATGAAGACGATAATGATGACGATGATGATGATGACGATGATGATGACGATGATGACGATGACGATGGTGATGATGTGTACGATGGTGATGAATATGATGGTGTTGACGATGATAGTAACGATGGTGCTGATGAAGGAGATGATAAGGATGACGATAACTATGATGATGATGATGTTGTAAACAGAGCATGCTGATGATAACTATGATGCATCTTATAGTCCGTACCCCCCTACCCCTCACCCCTCACACACACACACACACTCCCCTGCATCTCCCACCCCACTCCTCGTGACATCCTGTAGAAGTCATCCTTTGTCCTGATCGGTTTCAATAAATATTCTTGAATTCTTCCTTAATCAAGCAATGACATTTTATTCTTTCAATTGAAACTAATCGTTTCCTACTTTTTCTTCTTCTCAGTAACTGGGATTTAAATTGACTGATTGGATTTCGTTTGTGAATTTTTGTTTTTGGCAACTGTAACATGAAATCCCGTAATATCCTATACGCCATTTGTGTAGACGCAAATAAAGGATTGCCAAGGCTCCAAGTAGCCATTTGATGTTCTGTATTCTTGTAACGCTTTCGTTAATGGCAAACAAAGTAATCAAAGAAAAAAATGACAAAGACGGATCAACCGACATTACTACTGCACACGCCTGAGGAGATATATTGTTTTCTTGTAAATATAACTTGACGTGTATTGACAGTAGCCTGAATTAGATACAGGAAAGTGGAGAGACCAGAATACACGGCTTGTGTCATGACTTTGGACTGGTATGGCAAGAAACTGTGTCATATTAAAATTGTTAATTTGTCTACGATAATATAAGATTTGCAAACAACCATTCTTCAAGAATGAAGACGAGGTTGTCAATGTTTGAACCGATACTTGAAAGCGATTTTTGTGACAAAGTTTCAGGTGAATGTGTTGTTTCGTTGTCCTGGTTATATTTTTAACCACACAAGTTTTAACTCTTTCTTCTTCTTCTTCTGTGTCTTCTTCTCTTCCACCTTGTACCTCAGTGATATGTCTGGGGTAGATTTAACTTTCATTTATGAACTCTGTCAAGAGCATTACTATGGTTGATGTTTTCGCAGGTCTTCGGCTCGCTCTGTAACGTTGTAACAGTTTAGTGTGGCTCGCTGTGGTAGATACCAGGCATTATTGTTAGGTGTCCAAGCGACTTCATTTGTTGTTTTTTGATGACCTGTAAGACTGGCTTTATTCCTAGCATTCGGCTGATTTCGTGATTTCGTATTCTGTCTGTTCTTAAAACCCCTGCAGCTCTTCCAAGGCATTCCGTGTCTGTTGTCACAATTGTACGTTAATTAGAGGATGTAAGTGTTCACGTTTAGCACTGATAGCATAGTGTTGGCCAAAAAAAGTTCTGATAAAATTCACTTTAGTACTCCGGGGCATCTTCTTGTATGTCAGCAGGGCAGATAGTTACCCCATTATTTGATTAGCTTTGTCACATCTCGAGCTAATTTTCTGTCCAGTTTTTTCATCGGATGTTTAAACTCTTTATAACGTAAAAAATATATTTAGTGTGTTGTTTCGTTATTTCATGGTTATATCTTTTAAAAATACATAACTTTACTCATCATCATCAATTAAGTGGTATGGGGAGATTTATGAATGGGTAGCAATGGTGATTTTCACCCCGCGTCTTTATAGAAGCTTTTTAATGTCATCAATCCCTCTTCTTCCAGGGCGATCTGTTTTCACAGAGATATTTTCATGTAGCGTCTGCGTTGGAAGTAGTTCTGGTTGCATTCTTACCAGGTGATGAAACGATTTGATCTTCTGTTTCTTCATAAATTTGGTGTGTGGTGTAGTTCCCACCGTCTGTCTGATAATATCATTTCTAATCTTGTCTCGGATGGTTAAATTAGCGGCTTTTCTCAGGTATCTCATTTCACAGGTGTTAATTTTACCTAGCTCGCCTTTGATAATGTCCAAGTCTGGCACTTGTAGCACAGTGTTGGAATGAATATACTGTTGATAATCTGTTCCTTGCACGTATACTTATGTTTAGATGTGTTGATAACAGAGTCAATTGATGTCTAAGTGCAGTTATAACTCCTCATAATGATAAAACCGCCGCTGCAGTGGCGCCGTCGTTGACACAAATGTTACAAGTTTCTTCCCTTTCTTCTTCACGTTCACCGGCTTTGAGCTGCAGGGAAAAGTCTGGTTGTTCGTCCACCTCCATATTTTAACTTTGTTCCCGACCTCACGTGTTGCGTGCACATCCATTTTACAGATCTGGCTCATTGGTGCGCAGACTGTTGACTCCGTGACTTTCAAAGGAAGCTCACATTTAGTCGACTCCGACGACATGCTGCTTGGGTCTACTCTTGTTTTCCTCAGAGAGTAAGGCCACGGAACCCACTCAGGGAAGAACTGGGAGTAAGACAACAGGGAATAAGGCAATGAAGCAAATGTCGACTGGACAGAAATGTCGACTGGACAGAAATGTTGACTGGACAGAAATGTCGACTATACAGAAATTTTGAATGGACAGAAATGTTGACTGGACAGAAATGTCGACTACACAGAAATGTCGACTATACAGAAATTTTGACTGAACAGAAATTTTGACTGGACAAAAATGTTGACTGGACAGAAATGTCGACTATACAGAAATGTTGACTGAACAGAAATGTTGACTGGACAGAAATGTTGACTGGACAGAAATGTTGACTGGACAGAAATGTCGACTGGACAGAAATGTTGACAAGGACAGAAATGTCGACTGGACAGAAATGTTGACTGGACAGAAATGTTGACTGAACAGAAATGTTG